GACGACACCTGGGTTAAAATTAAATCTCAGGAAGTCCAACATTTTACTGACCACATCAACTCTGTGGATAAATACATCAAGTTCACACGAGAAGATGTAAAAAAATGGCAGGTTGGCTTTCTTGGACTGTGAGGTCTCAGTCTCTGATAGAGGACATTTGCAAACTGAGGTGTACCGCAAACCCACCCACACAGACCAGTATTTGCAGTTTGACTCCCATCACCCTTTGGAGCACAAGTTAGGAGTCATCAGGACTCTGTACCACAGAGCAGACAGCGTCCCCACTAATTCAGGAGACAGGCAGAAGGAGAAATCCCACACAAGACATGCTCTAGAGCAATGTGGATATCCTAACTGGGCCTTCCTGAAAGCAGAGAAGAAACCCAAACAGCACTCCAGTCAGCCATCAGGTGAAAAGGAGGAACCCAGACCAGTGGTCATTCCGTATGTTGAGAGAGTATCAGAGAAACTGAGACGTTTATTTTCTAAACATAACGTCCCAGTGGCTTTTAAACCCCAAAATACATTACGGCAAAGACAGGTTCATCCCAAAGATCCAGTCCCCCGGCACAAACAGAGCAATGTTGTGTATGCTGTTCAGTGTCAGGAGGGCTGTGATCAGTCTTACATCAGGGAAACTAAACAGCCACTGGCCAAAAGGATGGCCCAGCACAGAAGATCAACATCATCAGGCCAGGACTCTGCGGTCTACACTCATCTCCAGGCCAGCGGTCTCTCTTTCAGGGATGAAGATGTTCACATCCTGGACAGAGAGGAACGATGGTTTCAGAGAGGAGTAAAGGAGGCCATCTTTGTGAAAAGAAATTGTCCATCATTAAACAGGGGTGGAGGCCTCCGGGTTCAACTGTCCCCCTCTTACAATGCTGTGATTGCTAGTATCACTCAACCCCCTGTGAATAGTAAACAGCCATCAGTGTGCTAATGATCCATTGTTAGGCTGATGGTCCTTCTTGAGCATGTGAACAGCTGGTTTTGGTTGTCAGCAGCAAACTGGTTGATCCACTCTGAGAAGGTGCTATTTAAGAGACTGAGCTGAATACAGCACCTCAGACTGAGGAAGTCTTTCGGATGAAAGACAAAACGTTTCTACAATTTTTATTTTTTTGAATGTCCAGAGGACCAGATTGAACATTTTTAGATTCTTGTTTTTTGTTGTTGTTTTGTTTGCTTTGCAGGTTTTCCAGGCCTTATTTGACAAACAGAGCAGCTGATGAGAGAAACAGGAACCTGTTTGTGGGTTAATTTTAACTTTCCTGCAGCTTTAAATACAAAATATGCTTAGCTTTCTCACTGCTCTGCTGGTCTCTGATTGTCAGATTAAGGAAATACCTCTTGGTCTTGTTAGCTGTTTAATCAGAGCCTCTTATTAAGACAAGAACCGCTTGTGATTGAAGGTATTGTTGTGGGTCTCAGACACAAGAGGTGGTGCAAAGTCCACAGAGGGAACCTGATCCAGACTTGCTCCGAGTGGGACTCAAACAGAAGAGGTCAGGTGGTGACGCTGCCCTCGTGGGGCCTCAGAGTGTAAGAAACTGTTCTGTTGTAAAGATAGACCTAAGCTGAAAGGAAAGAGTTTAAACATTGTTGGACGGAACTGTAAGACACAGAGTCTCCTGATGGTAGCAGCACTGAGGTTGAGGTACAGGATACATTGAGGGTCAAAAACAGTTTGGAAACTTGAGTTTAAACAAAATCCTTTAGAGTAAACTCAAAATTTTAATTTTTAACCAACAAAACATCAGACAACTGAGGCTCTGAAAGTAAACTAATAATCAGTAACTTGCTGGGTATTAAAGCAGCAGTGTGCAGAAATGGGCGTGGCTGTGTAACTTACCTCCTCCTGTGCAAGGTAGGATGAGGCTGAAGCAGCTGAGCAATAGCAGCATAATGGCAGCTTGGAACGCCAACATGGAGTCTGCAGGTGTGTGAAGGTCTAAAACAGAAGATGGGGTGGTGAGGCACTGACCTGCGGACATGTGATCAGCTTTACATAAGGTGGCAGTGCTCTGGAAGCTGAGACAACCACAAGTCCAGGATCAGATCCAGGACTAAAGATTAAATCATTGATCAGCTGTTAAAGGGGTTGTCTGGTCAATTTTTAGGTGAAGTTATGCCTTGTAGTTCTCAATAGTTTGCACCTTATCCGCCGTTGACACCAGCCATGGAGCACAGTGAACCAAGTTGAGCTGTTTCGTCTTTTAGCCAAAAGACTTCTTCAGCAGTGTTGCCAGATCTCGTGATAGAAACAAGCAACTAGCATAGTTGCAGCAATGCTGCAGCCCGATTTTTAACTGGTACAGGCTATAGAGAGCACATCACGCCAGTTTTGGCCTCCCTGCACTGGCTACCCATTCACCTTCGGATCCATTTCAAAATTCTCATGTATGTTTTTAAATCACTGAACAGTTCCGCCCCATTCTATCTCACTGATCTTCTGCAGCCATATGTCCCACCGCGCTCTCTGAGGTCAGCAGACCAGATGCTTCTCTCAGTCCCAGAAACCCGTCGTAAGCTCAGGGGTGACAGTGCTTTCTCTGTTGCAGGTCCACGACTGTGGAATGAGTTGCCACTGAGTGTCTGGCAGGCTCCCACACTCTCAGTCTTTAAGTCTCGCTTGAAGACCCACTTCTATTCGCTTGCCTTTAACACGGTGTAATTTGTTTTGGCCCGGTCTGTTCTCTACTCTGTTGGCCATTTTAGTTAGCTTCTGCTGCTATTTGTATATGTATTTCTATTTTATGTTTTCCTGTCTGCTGTGCATGTTTGTGTTCTTTTGTACAGCACTTTGGTTGGCCTTGTTGCTGTTTTAAGTGCTATATAAATAAATTGGTATGGTATGGTATGGTATAGTTGCCAAGTCATTATAAGCGACTTTGGGCTTGTTTTTTTCTAAAGTCGTTTGCAAATCTTGTGAGTCGAGGGTTGCAGTTTTTTGGGCTTGTTTTGAACGTGAAGTTGCTTATTTGGGCTTGACTTTCTTTCTGAGTGAAACTAGTTAATTATCTCCCAGCTCCGCACAATAAGACAAAAGACGAGTGTTAGTAGGTAGTTTGTCCCTTCCACACCCCGTTTCCTGTTTATCACTCCCACCCAAGTTGGCGAGGTGACAGGCGCACACATAGACATAATATGTCTATATTTGTATATTATACAAATAGGTCTGTGGGCGCGCACCCCAAACACTCATACTGCGGCCGACCACTAGGGGGCTCCACTCACACGCAGATGTCAGAATGTTTTGTTTTTAAAAATAAGTAGAAAAAATTTCATATGCAAAATGTATATTTTTAATCAGAGCTTAAAAGTACGTTATTCAAAGTGTTTAGCATACTTTTGCTGTTGTTTATGTGTCATGCCATAATAAATACAATGATCTGTTACCTCTTAAATATATTTGTTTATTGCACTGAATCATAAATGCAATAAAAAGAACCCAACCCCCACCCCCTTCCATTTTTATTTTTATGAACTCATTGGTGGGCCAGACTGCAGTCACCCGCAGGCCGGAAGTTTTGCACATCTGCAGCAGCTTGAGCAGGGAGTCCCAGACATGTCTGTCCCCAATTCCCCAGCCACCTATTCCAGCTCTTCTGGGAGGCTTTCAAGACATTCCCAGACCAGCCGAGAGACATAATCTCTCCAGCATGTCCTGTATCTTTCCCGGGGTCTCCTCTCAGTCATACATGCTCGTAGCACCTCCATAGGGAGCCACCCAAAACATTTGTTTGGACGGAAAACGACAAGGAGCTCGATGTCCCTTGCCTGGACATGGGTTGCTGGTGCCCTACTCTGAAGCCAGGCCTGGGAGAGGGGCTTGTTGGCAAGTGCCTTTACCCATAGGATCTGGTCAGGCTCAACCTGAAAGAGCAACATGAGTTTGTATTCCTGTGTGCCTACCACCTGCTGGAAAGACCCACAAGAAGAAATGGAGAAGGGGTGGTCCAGAAGGAGTTGGCAAGGAATGTGAAAAGAATGTGATATAGGGTGATGCATTTGAAAGTAGAAGTAGGTCTGATGCTAAACGTTGTCAGCGGTTATGCTCCACAGATTGGATGCAATGTTTAGGAGAAAGATACATTTTGGAAGGATCTGGATTAAGTGAAGGAGAGCCCTCCCAGGGAGGAGAGAGTGGTGATCAGAGCACACCTGAATGGACATGTTAGTGAAGGAAACAGAGGGGATGAGGAAGCGATGGGTAGGTTTGGCATCAAGGAAAGAAACCAGGAAGGACAGATGGTGGTGGATTTTGCCAAGAGAATGGAAATGGCTGTTGTCAACACCAATTTCTGAAAAAGGGAGGAACATAGAGTGACCTTAGAGCAGAGGAAGGAGTACACAGGTAAACTACATTCTGTGTAGAAGAGAAAACCTGAGGGAGATTGGGGACTGTAAAGTTGTGTCAGGGGAGAGCATAGCCAGACAGCAGCGGATGGTTGATTGTGAAGAAGAGAAAAAAAGTAAAATCAGAGAAGAAGACCAAATGGTGGAAGCTGAAGAAGGAATAATGTTGTTAGAAATTTAGAGAGGAGCTTTTAAAGGTTCTGGGTGGTAAGAAAGAGCTTCCAGATGACTGGGCTACTACAGCAACAGTAATTAGAGAGACAGGTAGGAAGGTACTTGATGTGTCATGTGGACAGAGAAAAGATGGTAAAAGACCTGGTGGTGGAAAAGTGAAGTTCAGGAAGTAATCTGGAAAATGAAAGCCAAGAAGAAATGGGACAGTTAGAGGACTGAAGAAAGGAAAATAGGGAGGTAGCAAAGGCAAAACAAAAGTAGTATAATGAGTTGTACAAGAGGATGGACACTAAAGCCCCCAGTATACTGCCGCGTATATCCATACGCAGAGGTACGCACGTACGTATGCAGAGGTACGAGCGTATCTCCCAGGGCATGTCCATGCAAAGCTCAAATTTTTACGACCACATACGCGTACGCGGTGTCGCACAATAAACTGCCCAGCAACAGACTGTTTTGTATGCGACACCAATGTATTAAATTCCCCTTCTTCATCCCTGATCTGGCCTTTTCTTTTGTTTTTGTTTTTTTTGCCAAGAGGCAAGTGATCTCTTCCTCCTCCGTTGATGCCATGACTGAAATGGTGAGAAATGAAGGTATTTGTCACGAGCGAATTAAATTCAGGTCCAGTGTGGCTGTGGGTGGGTCTGGAGATTTCCTGGTGGGCTGGTCTGATGTGTGGGCTGCAGAGCTAGCGCTCCCTGTTTTTTTTTTTTTGTTAGATCTTTTTATTAACAACATATAAACCCAGAACACTGCTGTGGCTGAGGCTGCCAGCGCTCGTCCCCCCCCCCCCCCCCCCCCCCCCCCCC